AATTGTATGGGCTAATACACCAGGACACTGTTACATAAATAAGATATTGGGCATTTGGCGGCATCTAATGTTACACCATTAGGCAACCAAATGACAAAAGTGACACATGCTCACTCAAGCGTTCTGTATGATCTTCTGGAAGCCTTTTCTTGTCTTGTTCATGCACATCAATGACACTCAGTAAGTGTTTTCTGACTTTCAGTGGCAGACACAGAAGTAGTATATAGGATAATGCTATCTGGAAAGGCGAGATTTGAATAAACATTTACTGAGCATCTCCTACGTTCTGGGCGCTGGTCTAAACAGCGTTTCTGACAGCCTGCGATGACCCGGTGCAGAGACACTGCAGTGGAAATGGGAAAAAAGTCAGCTTCCAAACCTGTCTCTGCCACTGATTCGGTGACCACTCAAGCTTCTGAACCAACGGTTTTCACTTGCCCCTAAGAAGAGACCACTTGGGTGAAGAACGCATTTGAGGAAAGGCTTTGGATTCCGCCTTGCCTTCCTCCAAGCACGATTGCCCTTGAGTCACGGGGTTGGAAGGACGTGACCTTTTTGCAGCAGACGGGCAAACCTGTCTTCTGAGGTCGGTGCAAACTGCCACTAAGGGCTGCTTACCCACTGGCGCCACTCAGAGACCTCCCTATACTAAGGGGCATTACTATCTGACGCCCATTAGAAGGCGCTGGGAGAAAGACGGCGGGCCAAAGACTTCTTTGAAAGAACGGACGTCACGACACTACCATAAGTATAAACAAAAACAACAGTCCGGCTCTGTGACATCCGTTGCCCCTTCCTCTCTGAAATACATCAGCATCCGTGTACTCCCTTGCGCGAAAATGTTGCCCCCGGACTCACAGCAATTAAAAATCCCAATCCCCGCCAGCACTGCAGTTAATTTCTTTGGGACCTAAGCACTTCCGTGGTCAAGGAACTTTTTAAATTCTTCACCTCTAAGCCCTGGGGGAGTGAGTCTCCTAGACCGCACAGTATTTAAGCAGATGTGCTGACATGAGGACCTTGGCCTCCCCAGTCTCTTTTGGGTCCATTCTGGGCTTAAGAGGTCAAAGCAGGCACTTTCTTAAGGAGCGAGCTATTGGGGGAGAAGGAAGCAAACGAAAGGTCAAAAAGGTCGGCATAGTTCCCGCCAGGAACCGCATCCCCCTGAGGAGAGCTGGGCCTGCTCGGGGGCGGGGAAGAGGCTAGGCCCCAAGCTGGAGTGGCCGCCTTGCCAGCCAATCGACACGTCCTTCCGCGAGCTGAGGTCCCGCCCCTCCAAGCCAGGTACTCACTTTCCCCACTTCGGCGTTGCCCATGGAGATGACTTTGATGCGGAGGGGCTTGCCGGGCTCCTTCCGCTTCGGCAT